TTTTCTTGTTCCCAGCACATTTTATTTCCGTTTCTAACCCAATTTTCTCTGGCTGTAATCCCTCTGATAAGGAACCATTACTTATCCCAGATTTTGGCTTCTGAATATCTATACACACTCGAACCAAAACAACTTAGAGCCATCTTACACTAAGCACAATACACCAAATTCTGTGGTTCTTATTTTTTTTGTGTGTATGTGCTGTTTTTCTCAATAGTGGAATAATTTCTACATTTTTCTGCGTGGTTACTTTTGTACATTCAAATCAGTGCTATTCTAATGAACAGAATCTTTATTAGGGTCAGACAGGATCAACTGCCTGATAAGAACCCAGGTGGTTCAGCACCTAAATATATGCATTAGTTAATTTTATCAAATAAATCAGAATTCACAGAATGTATTTTTGATTAAAATCTCAGCTGCCAGTGAGAGTATTCCTTTCATTTTGGTTTTAATTTAGACAGTCCACAACAAACTTTGACAATTTTATCCAGGGCAGAAGGCAATGCACACATTTCTTCTAGAGAGTAGGCCTGCTTGGAGCTATCAGAAACTCATTTCTTACCTTGACAATGTCATACACAGCCTGATAGGGATAAAACGGAAATTTAGTTTTGTGATCAGCAGTTTTTATAGTTTTGGTATGCACTTTTATTTCCCCAAATCTACTGCCTTTCTCTAGTTGACAAGAGAACTTTCACTTTACTGAGTGAAAAACCAAGAATTGTGGTATCCTTTCAGTATGTATGTAGCAGGATCCCTGACTGCAGTATTTTGCTACCCACATTTGGGGTTATTCATAACATCTTCTTAAAACCCTGATATTCACTGCTAGCACTACATACAGGAAGTAATAGAATGGAAATTGTGTATATTATTATAATCTTCTTATAATATTACTGCAAAGACTATAAGATTTATTTCCAAATGAAAGCCTCCGAGAAATTAATGATGCTTTTTATTCCATTTCCATGCTCTAAGACATTTTACCTTACAAATGGTAAATAAAGATTGGTTTTGTTTCAAAGATGGCTATTTTTAATTTTGAAAGGATTATAGTTTTTAACAGCATAGGTAGGCCACACATACTGTTTTGACTAAGACTACACTACTGCTGTAACTTAGTTTGATTAATTTAAATGTACAGCTTCTTGACCTGACAAACTAAGATGCAAAAGTCCTAACCAGGTTACAAGAAAAGGCACTGCAGATGTTTTCTTCAAAAGCTGCATTCCTTGCATTTTTTAACATTTTGGATTGTTGTGTAGATTCTGTCTGTTGGAGAACTGTTGTATTCCAAACCAAAAGGTATTATAATTTGCCAGGCATTAAAATTACTTGATTAGAAAGGCAGAGATACTTTACATACTCAGAATATTTACACATGATTTACACATATCACCCGTACAAACACAGGAACAAAAGAGAAAGGAAACAGAAGATAAGCAAGAACAACAGTAGAGCTGACTGGGTTATTTTTAAAATGAGATTTGATCTACAAATACCACACATTATCTCATTTCACCCTTGTCTGCAACTTGTAATGAAGGCACTTGAGTATCTTCAGGACAGTGTATTTTGATCAGATTTCCAGGCCCAATTTATATATTCTAAGTAATAAATTTGGAAAAATAATTTAATTCAAATACTACTGCTGGCTGTTAAAGCACAGGAGGAATTAGTAGAAGCAAAAGATTTGAAAGCAGAGAAAAAGGGGGAAAAACAACCTCCATATAGTTGTCATTAGATACTGAACATTTATGTGATATGAATGTGTAGTATAAATACACACTGGTTCTGAATTTTCCCCCAAACCAGGAAATTGTGAAAGTTTTCAGATATCTTTGTGTAGTCATTAATGATAAATGTTGCCAAATGGTGAGCACAGAACTTAAAAAGTATGTGGATGATAAGCAGACAATTCCATAGGCATAAGTTATTCATTCTGCATACAGTCTATTTTGCACTGCACAGTACTGTGCTTCTCTGCATCCTTCTCTGAAAACTGAAGTGGTGGATTAGGTTTACTGAAAAGCAAGAATTTTAGAAAACAGAAAATGATGCAGGTGCTTCAGATCTCATTGCACATTGTTTAGTTAAATCCTGCTTTAGTACTGATCCTTGTAATAACAGGCATAATAAACAAGACAGTCTCAATAACTGGTTGCTGTAGTGTTACAGTGATAGCTGTCAGCCAGAGCTCCCTGTGCTCATGGCAGTACAAATAAGAAACAAAATTATGATTCTTGAAGTGATTACTTATTTTATAGCTCTTAGCATACTTCCCAGAGACTAGCATGTTACTATAGCATGCAAGATTAACTTCTGTCCTCTCCACAACAAGGCTTCCTCCCTGATGGAAAAATGCAGCATTTTCATTTTCTGAGGGCTCTGTAGAATATTTCAAAGAGGAGTGTTTTGCTCCCATTTTAGATAGAGCATTACTAAATGAAGTGAAAGGTGGAAGAACAGAACATCGTGACCTGATGGTTGGACTAGATGACCTTAGTGCTCTTTCCAACCTTAATGTTTATATGATTCTGTAACCTTGCTTGGTTCTGACTAACCTAATCGTGTTGCTACTACTCAGATACTGGAGTGCTGCCTTCACTGTGGCACCCAGCTGTTGCTGGCTGAAGGACCCTTCTAGCTGCCGTCCCCCAGACATCTCCGTGCTCAGCACTGCTCTCAAAGTTGGAAAAGGAAACGGAATGGAATGAAAGGTGGAAAACTCTCATAAGAAACTAGGAGTTAAAAATGGATGCTCTTTGTAAACAATACCTATACTTGTTTTGTTGACCTATAGACACTTACAGTAATGGATTAGAAGCCACTTCCCTCTCCAGGAACATGTTGGCAATAGTTTGGTATTTAAAACAGGCATTGTATTTCTCAGTGTTTTTCTTCTTTTTGTTAGCAATATGCACAAGACTGACTTTAGCAGAAAGGAATTGATTATTCCATGATTTTTCATATGCACAATAGCTTACAATGGCCTACATCATGTTCTGGAAATGGAATAAAAGAAACATAATACTACCAAGATCAGTGGACTTCTGCAGGAGTCACATAGATGTGGACGAGCACAGGACTGGGTTCACTGCTTTTGTAGTATACTACAGCCACTGAAAATACTTTTAAAGTAAATTTTTGTATTTTAAACTAACATATGAACGTTTGTACATAAAGCACTAAACGCAAACATACTGGTCAAACTGAAAGACAGTGGAGTCCAGCCTTTAGGCTGGGAAGCACATGTGCAGTTTACCCACAAACACAGATTAATTTCAGCTATCCACAGAATTTCATGCATGTATGAATACTGTGTAGATACCACTTTTCCAGTTCAATTTTGCAAAACTATTCGCATTTGTAAATATTATTATTCATATTTATACTTGAGAATTATTTTCTCAGTTTACAATTTACTTAGTAATTACAAAAAATATATATATATATATCTTTAAAACATATAAAGGGAATGCATTTAAAAATCCAGCTTCTGTAGAGTGGCTGAGGCAGAGATGAGAACCAGTCTATATTCATAGAATCACAGAATGATAGAGCGGCTTGGGTTCGAAGGGACCTCAAGGATCATCAAGCTCTAACCCCCTTGCCACAGGCAGGACCACCAACCTCTGTATCTACCAGGGCTCCATCCTGCCTGGCCTTGAACACCTCCAGGGGCAGGGCATCCACAACTTCTCCGGGTAGCCTGTTCCAGCACCTCACCACTCTCTCTGTAAAGAACTTCCCCCTGACATCCAACCTAAATCTCCCCTCCCTCAACTTAAAACCATTTCCTCTTATCCTGCCATTATCTAACCTTTTAAAGAATTGATTCCCCTCCTGTTTGTAGGCTCCCTCTGTGCAATGAGGTCACCCTGCAGCCTTCTTTTCTCCAGGCTGAACAAGCCCAGCTCCTTCAGCCTGTCCTCATGTGCTCCAGTCCCCTGATCATCTTCGTGGCTCTCCTCTGGACCCTCTCCAGCAGCTCCCTGTCTTTCTTGTCCTGGGGGCTCCAGACCTGGACACAGTATTCCAGATGGGACCTCACAAGGGCAGAGTAGATAGGAACAATCACCTCCCTTTCCTTGCTGGCCACTTTTCTTCTGATGGAGCCCAAGATACCATTTGCCTTCCGAGCCGCAAGAGCACATTGCTGGCTCGTGTTAAGTTTTTTATCCACCAGGACCCCCAGGTCCTTTTCTGCAGGGCTGCTTTCAAGCATTGCTCCTCCTAGTCTGTATATTCCTCTCCATAAGGTAACACACAGGTAACTGGGGAAACCAGAAGAACTGAAACACAAAGCTTCAGTGCTCAGTAATGGGATACCTTCCTCATGGATCACAGTGTTTTGAGTTTGAGAGGTACAAAAATGAAAGACAGTATAGAGATTGATATAATCCATTTTAAAATCCATTGTTCAGCCAAAGGCTGAACAGTTCTGAGAACTGTAA